TACACTCACTGATCTTATGTTTATATTGACATCTTCAACACTCCCTAAACTCTTAAGTAATGGAGTTAAATTCACATGCATTTTTAATTTGCAGTTGTTATAAGATATATTTATGGGATGGAATCCTTAATAGAAATCAATGCATAGATGATATTTATGTGTTTTATCTAAGAGCTATTGCTTACTTATCATTCAGTAATCATTTCTATCTCTTTATTTTTTAAAATTTGTATTCTTCAAACTTGCAAAAATTATAAAATTAATTTTTATTAAAAAGATCATAGCTATTACATTTAAAGCTCAATGACCAACATATTTATGCTTTTATCCTCCATTGGGACTGGATGCTATTGTTCTTCACATTTTGTTAGGAATGGTCTTAACCTTTCAGCTATATTTTCTCTTATGTTCCAGGAAATAAAACCTCTAATGATGTGTAGAGTTTGGAACAACTGAGTATCAGGCTTTCTAATTATAAATACTTCACAGAGGTATTTCAAACCATATAAGATGAAGACCCTTAAACTTAAGTCAGTCAGAAAGGGTAACTATAGTAGGCTATTGGTGTTATGCTAAGCTTCATCTTTATTTAATCTGGTTTGAGTTTGACATGGGCTGAAAAAGAGAGTTGAGGAAATTAGGCCATGAACTACAAACCCAGAGATGTTAGATTGGAGGAGCAAAAGATACAGAGTTGAGATTCAGTTTGGGAACAGAAGTCTGTCACCTTGCACCATCATCCATTTCAATATTCTCCTCAGTCTAAACTCTGGGAAAGCAGTTTTTGAGAGACTGATGGATGGATGCATGGTTGGATGTTTCCTCTCAGCCTCCTGGCCTCTGGTGGAAGTGTCAAATGGGGGTTGATCAGGTGACATTTAACAAAAGCAAAGGTGAAGAAATCAGTTAATTGATAATGAGAGAAACAAATGTCTTGATAACGGCAGAGGGATCAAGCCAAGGAGATCTCTCGTCTGATGTTGTGTCTGTTATTTTGAGGAGCAACAGTGAAGAAAGAAAAGGAAGAGTTGGAAAGCCATTTCCATGAAATTCTGAGTGTCAGAACCCACGCTCAGATTTTTATTACAAATGAATATTCATTAAAGGTCTTAATTGCTTTTTGACTCCCATGATCCATGAAGGCTCTCATCTCCTTGTAATGATTTGAATCCTGCGCTCCTTGCCTCAACACAACTGTAGTCCTGGAGAATGGGGTTTGTGGGCAAAGTCAGAAACAGCAAAAAAATAAATACTGACCTTTGCAGACAATATATCAGCATTTACACCTTAGGGTTTAAAATCCTGATTCTCACATTTAGGCAGATGACAATTATTAATTTTTTTTCTGCAATTTTTTGGGTTTCTTTGTGTAGCTCTAGCTGTCCTGGAACTTTCTGTGTAGACAAGGCTGGCCTTGAATTCAAAGAGATCTGCCTTCCTCTGCCTTGCATGCTGGGATGAAAGGAATTTACCTCACTCTAATATTTTAGTTTTCAAATGCTCAGTTTTGAGTATTTGAAATTCTGAAAATTGCAATCATAACATGGCTCAAGAAAGGACTTAATTCTCAAGGCAGGGAGTTCAGGGATGAGACTGTCAGGGAAAATAGAAATAAATCTTTTGAAATGTAGAACTTGTTATGCTGTTATTATTTTTTTTCAAAGTCATGAAATAAAAACAAAATCAACACAGTTTTTTTTAACTACTTAAGTGGGGGTAAAGTTTTAGAACTAGTGAAAGAATTCTTCAGCTTTAATTTAAGAGTATTACATATATTGAAAGTAAACCTAATTCATTCAAAAACTTTAATGGGGCTTTTCAATTTATATTATTTTTTCTCGTGGCATAGGATATATTGTACTTTTTTTTTAAAAAAAAATCATTTCCATTGAATTTGCAATTTTAAAATATTGTCAATCTAGTTCCAAAACCTTATAAGTTGTATTTAAACATTTTATGACTAAATTATACCAAGCTACAGTGGCCAAATGCCAAGGTGGGTTCAGAGTATGAAAAGAATTGTGTAAATCTCACTTCAAACTGCAAGCATAAAAATCCCTTTCAAATTAGAAGAATCCCTGTATTTGAAACTTAAAGCCGTCATGAAATTCAGTTGGTAAATTATGTTTTAAACTGCACAAATGTTTGAAATGTGAGAGTCTCGAATGGATCTAAAGAAACCAGAGAATGATCTTTACAAATCTTTGAAATAAAGGAGGTAGAAAATAATAACCCTGTTATAAAGGATGAGAAGAAAAGGGCTTGTTAAGGATGAGAGAGCAAGGACTGGGCAGTGTACTTCTATCAAGTTTTGGGCCTGAGAAAAGGAAAAGTTTTAGAAACTGAGGTGGTAAACTGGTGTGTCTAAACTCAGAGTTTTTATTTCAATGTCCACGTAGAATTGCAGGTGATGTGATGTTAATGTCACCGTTACGAACTGTTGCACAAGTAGTGGATGATTTCTCCCTTTGAATTTCAAATCCAGCCCTAGAAACTGATAGTACTTATGATTTTAATTTCCATTGTCTTTGAAAGTGAGAAATCTCTGGATCTCATTCTAAGGCAGTACACAAGAAGGACTGAGACCTCAAAGCATGTAGCTCCATCAGCTCAATTACCTCTTCTGTCCCTGGGTCACTAGAAACAACTATTTTTATTGTATACAAAATATGCCTCTGACATATTCCTTTGCATACCCACGTCACTCACCAGCAATTAGAAATAAAATTAGAAGGAAGAAATGTTTATCCTTCAAACATGGTGAGCCACATTATTATTCAGGCTCAGTAATAGCTTCTACTAAGCAGCTCACTTAGCTCTTACAGAGGCAGAACTCTGTCCTCTACTTTATTAGTGTATCTTTGCCATATTCTCTTGAAGATTACAATACTTTAAAAATCTTATATAACCTCTTGTATCCATATTATTCAAAATATGTTGTCAATGAATTTCCTTCCTCTGCATTGAAATCAAAGAAAACATATAGGTGATCACGAAAAAGCAAGCAAACTCAGTTTGGGGACATTCAAGTTGGGCTGTTAAAATTCAACATCAAAAGCCAGTAACTATTATCAGCCTGACGATCTATGGGCCTCATAGTTTTGAGACAGGAAAAGTCCTTTACCTTGGAGCTATGGAGATCAAGGGAGCTATGGAGATGATTTTTGAGAGGGCATAATTGGTGGGGGGAAACTGAAAAATAATTCAAAATGGCCATGCTTTTATATTTAATGAGTTAAAATGAAGAGATTTGATAAATATTGAACTGGATGCAGTTATCACTACTTAGAAATAGAGAAGAGTAGAGAGAGAATAATCAGATGATCCTAATTAAAGTCTAGATATCTTAAACTAATCATCAGAAAACATTCTAATTGGGTATATACTGTACATATATTAAGTTCTTAGCACCTAACAAACACCAAAATATACAGGTGCCCTCGAACAAACGTGTGGTACTACGTTAGACTGGAGAACTGGTGTATGTAGCAAGGCTTATTGCTCTATTTAAAACAGCTCACCTTGGAACAGAACTAGATCAGAAAGGACTGGAGGATAGTGATGCATCATGTTGTGCCTAAGTGGTCAGGATTATTGAGTGAGTAAATTAAATAAATAGATTCATTTTTAAGTAAAACCTTGGTGCCCAAATTTATTTCCAAATCACTTGAAGAAAATCTGATGAACAAGGTCACATTAACGTTCCTTCCATACAGCTAAAGTCCCTAAAGAACAGATCATATTATAGAATGGTAAGGTCAAATTATGGCTGTATAGCTTTAAGATACTAAGGGCAGAATGCCACAGAACTTCCTGAATCCAGAGCCACTTGCAAGAAACCAAGCAGTCAGCATTTACCAAAATCAGAACTGTTCTTAATTATTTTGGGGTAAGAAATTGACGTTTTAAATCTTTTGATATATTACTTTTCTCGGTAATTATAAATTTCTCTACAATTGAAAAGAGAAAAGATATAATGGCTTGTTTTTTTTTTAAAAGAAAAGTCAAAAAAAAATAAGGCAACCCAAGGATCAAATGGAAATTTTATCTATTTCTTTTAGCCTCTGTAGAAATAAGATGAGGCTTTTCCTTTTATTAAACATACACAGAAATTCGATGATATCTGTTCTCTATTATATACACATAAATGTTTAACTTACAGTAGATCTAAAAACAGATAACTTGGGAAAGTTGAGAGGAGAGAATCGGGGATGTCAGTTACCTGTTGGACACTCTATCATATATAGTTCACTATACAGGAATACCAGAAAATAGCAAAATGTATCTGCGTCCAAATGGGGAACACACTGAGACTCCCATGCCAAAGTCAGATTAACTTCAGCAGTCGATACATTTTGAAGCATCCCAGATGTTGACATGGCATAGTTTGGTACTAATTTTGTGTTTCTTATACTCTATCACTTCACGAGTTCTCTAGACATTTAATGAACAAAATTAGTATAAATTAATACCATGTTAACTGCTGTTAAAATCTCATGGAAAATAATTTGGGTTACTTATTTATTTATGCCACTCATAATCAAAACAAGTCTTGTGACTCATATGATACCCACCAATCTTTTGGCCTCCATGCTAGGTTTATGGTTTAAAACCAAAAATGATCATTCAAATGTAAGCTTTAGATGCTCTTTGCCCCTGTCAATCTCATAGTTGCCATTGACAACTGAATATTTGTAGTAGTGATTCCAGTGCATAACCTGAGCAGGCAGCTGTGCAAAGTTAGGATACATATTGTATATTTTTCTAAGTATCAGAGACTTAAATTTACCTAAGCTTAATTGCTCTTTCCATGGGATTTGATGCTTTTGCTGGTAAATTAATATTTATATATGTATGCATATACATATATAGATATAGGAAATACATATACATTAACACACAGTACTATAGATAAAGCACATGTATAATCACATATATGTATGTATCGGGTTTTTGCAAATGAAAAAAGAAGCAAGCATAACAAGACTGACCTGACCTACCTGTACTTGGTTCACACTCGACAAAGTCTTCGTCATCACTTGAACATTCAGCAGATGAAACAAGGTCATCTGATGTTGGCTATTGATGTTAACAGAGCAGGGAGGGACGGAGGGAAGAGAGAAAACAGAGGGAGGTAAGGAAACTGGTAGGTAAGTACATTACATCTTTTCTATTGCTCCCCCCCCCCATCGCTACAGGTTTTTCTCTGGTGAGAATTGTCTGTATGGGTCTCCTACAAAGGTGCAGCTACTTTGAGGCTGCAGAGATTCAAGGCTGTCCACTTTGATTTCTGGACGAGGAGGAAGAAGGAAAGGAATTGCGTAGAATGGCATTGGAAGGGCCCAGCCAACAGTACACTCTCCGTGCTTTGAGAGAGATTAAGTTCATATGGCACATGGTTTCATGTGCGCTGTTGGGGGGCTGCGGAACTATAGGCAGTATTATTAATGAACACTATGGGATGCTTTTCATTCAGTACAGCATAATAGCTTCTCTGGCTTGCAGCAGTTCCTCCTCATAATTGCTGCAATTAGCTGAATTAGTAACGTGGATCAGCGGAGTGATACTGCACAAGCTCCTGGACATGGGTAAGGCTCTTGCTGAAGAGAGCAGAACAAATTCCCACCATAACACTAGTTCAACATAAATCCATTTATTTTTTTAACCATGCAAAAACTTCCCAGTGCTATGGAAATTGTTAGAAGAAAACCACAGGACTGTGAACATTGGCAGTAAAGTGGACCCTTGGCACACAGTAGGTGAGAATAAGTAATTTTTATAACACAAATTATAAGTGTTACAAATACTAGTGAAAGACTAATGAAGGATTAAATGACTTATACAGTAAACCCCAAACAGATTTTGGTTATTATATATAGAAATACCCGGTGGATTGTAGGTTTTTAATAAATGCCCATTTCTTTTCTTAATGTCAGTAACATTAACTGAGTTGCTGATTTTATTATTCCCAACCCACTGAAGTCTGGATCCATATTCAAGAAGAAAAGGTCATAAAGAAATGTTTTCTTTGCCTTTTGAACAAGTATTATAAGCCAGTTGCTAGTTGCTATGACTGATGTGTAGGCATTCTTTTATTTTTCCTTGGAGACAGGGTTTCTCTGTGTAGCTTTGGAGTCTATTCTGGAAAGTACTCTACAGACCAGGCTGGCCTTGAACACATAGAGATCCACCTGCCCCTGCTTCCGGAGCACTGGGATTAAAGGCGTGCACCATCCACTCCTAGCTAGACACAACTGCCCTACCCTTCCACTGAGACATACAAGAGATGTAATTTCTCAGCTGATTTGCTGAGAGACACACATCTTGTCAGAAACAAAGTGATGATTTCTAAGATTCATTACCACTATATTTGTGGCTATATATCACAGCCTTTCTATGCCCTGTCTTCTAGAGAAGATAGGTTGAGCTGTGATCCCCTCATACTTTAGGAAAGGACTTCATTTGAATATTAAGCCTTAATGAAATCATTAGGATGGCCCTCAATACAGTTGGATCAGTGTCTCTCTGAAAAGAAGAAATTGTGGCACAGATAAAGAAAGGGAGGAGTCTACGTAGAAATTCAGAACAGAGGTGAGCATCTACATGTCAGGGAGAGAGTTCACAGGGGAGCAACTTTGCTGACACTGTGGCTTCAGACTGCCAGCCTTCAGAATTCTGCGGGAATATGTTTCTATGGTGTGAGCCCCCCCCCCCAGTCTATGGTACTTTGTTACCATAGCAGACATGCTCACATGACAATTCAGATTTCCAAAGTGTACCCTCTTTTTAAGTACTCCCATCAAATGAAGAATGACCAGAAATAGAACAAAAGAACAGCAGTGGAAAGAACACGTCGGGTAATTCAGCTCACTTTCCAACACTACAGATCCCTCTTCTAGCGCTGAGAGGAGCAGACTCTGTCCGTGCTCCGTCTGAAAGTTAGAAGATGAGCAATCTGAGAAGAGCCCCTCCGTAAGTCTGTGCTACTAAACTAGCCTGTGCCCGCAGCTGTATCCAGGTGAACTATTCCTTGTGCCAGAAAAATTATACTCCCTTAATACATGTTCCTCAAAGTGCTAATGTAATTCTACTTCCCACAACGTAGGGAAGGGGGTTGCTGAGGGGTTATGTGTAAACAGACAAAGCAATTAGCTGAAGCCAGGGTGGTATGCTTCACTAATACAGCTGGATAGAGACTCAGGACTGATATGCGGAGAGGAAAACTATGGGCTTCTGTCTCAACAATTCAGTGCCCTCCCTTCGAGTACATGCTGTGTGTGGTGCATGTTTTCATAACTACAATTATCTTCCACAAATATCTTCCTTATGACACTGAGGACACTCAAAACTCACATGAAGAAATAGATACCTGGACTATCAAGACGCCTGGCTGTTAAGCATTTACTGTCAGTTCTAGTCAGGCTTCATATTAAGTGGTTAACATGCAAAACTCTTTTAGGACTCACAGGAATCAAGGGAACTGACATTTGTGGTGACATCTGTTGTTTCCACCCACCGTCCACATCCCTCAGACAATAATGCTACGGTAGGAGATGTTTCTACTTGCACACTTATCTGGGAATATTCACCAAGGTTCCTTCCATGTTGCTCAGTTTTTTTTTTCTTTTTTTTTTTTTAATGTGACTTTCACAGAGACTCTTGTTGTTTGAAAGACAAATGTTCCCCTATAGGTTCACATATTTGATGTTTTGGCCTCCGCTGCTGACACTGTTTGGGGAAGTGTATTGAACTTTTAAGAGGCGGAACCTTATTAGTGAAAAAGCAGCTGCAGCAGGCTTTGAGGTTTTATAACCTGCCCCTTCTCACTTCCTGCTTTCTCCCTGCTTCCTGAGCGCAGATAAAATGTGGTCACCCAGCTTCCTGCTATGGCTACCATGCCTTTTCTGCACTCTTGTCCTCTGTAACTGTAAGCCAAAATGAACCTCTCTGTTCTTTAAATTCATTAGGTTGTGGTATTTCATCAGAGTAACTGAAAAATAACTAATACAATGACTCTTAACCGTACTTTCCAAGGGCTAAGCATGAGGTACTCATAACCTGCCTGTATATGCTAATTCTACCATTGTTTATGATATTCCAAGAAAAATGAAATAGTTATAACTCCACAACGTAAGTAGTTTTGATAGTAGCAGGCTACTCATTTCTGTATCCCTTATATATGATTATGTAAGATGATTTCTTTACTCATTCATCACTCATTGATGAGTTCATTTGTTACTTTCGGTATTGTCACAGATGTATGAAGGAGGCACAGTGACAGTGACGAAGGAATAAGTGAGGGATAAAGTGGCTCTTCCGCTCTGGGAAGTCAGTCTCTGATGGGACAGTCAAGTACACAGGCAGACTCAACAGGGTAAATGGAATGTTGTGACAAGAGTTAGCAGGAGTCAGCGAGGGAGCAAGTGGCAGGAGACTAGATGTGTCTTTCAGACAGAAAGGAAGGAGAAACAAGCCCTCAGGGACAGATAGGAAAGGAGCAGTACAAATCCAGGATTGGAGGCTGGAGAAAGAGAATAGCATTTCATGTAAAATAAATAGTATTTGCTAAGGGTCACTAGTATGAAATACCTGCATTTATTTCCACATCTACCGGTAGTAGGGGAAGAAAAGATAATAGCAACTTGAACGATCATCTTTGCACGGGAACCTCATCTAACAAGCATGGATTTAATACCCTGCCTCATCAGATTCCTTCTTTCTCCTCCCTACACCTCATCAGTATCCCTCATGACATCCTTTTGGGAGTTGACTGACATGATTTTGCAATGTGGTCCCGGAAAATGACAGCCACAGCTCTGCTGGTGTAGATTACCTATTTCCCTTTCTCTAAAGGAGTAAACTGTTCCTTTGCTTTTATATATTCACCATGTTCTATATCAAAAATAGCAATTCCTATTATTCTATTTTAAAATATATATTTCATATGTTTAATCCACCTGTTGGAGGTATTCACTTCTGTACTAAGTTTCATAAAACTAAAGATATGTATTGTTAATAACTTTCAATAAAATATATCTGTGGCAAGTACATCTTTATTCCTTTCCTGAATACACACACACACACACACACACACACACACACACACACACACATATATATATATATATATATATATATATATATCCAATGATTATTAAAGTTACCCTAGAATAAAATTGGGATTGAAGAAAGCTCAAAACTCTTGCCAGGTAAATTTATAGATGTGTTTACCTTCCAATTCCCTCAGTTTCACAAACCTGACTTTTCATTTTACTTCCGTGAGTTATTGTTTCTATAATCACCCCTGCCTAATTATTTATTCTTCAAGGCTCTACTCTATCTCAGCATCAGGACATATTTACACCATTCACTCTTATCATCCACTGTTTGTGAGATGGAGACGTGTCTAATATTATAATCACAATGATTCATGTCAGTGTCACCATGTCCCCTCTCCTGACCAGCTGTCCCTTTTGACTCGAAATTCTAACCTTTAGCTCTTCATCTTACACCAGCACTAGGCTAATCGTTTAGGGGAAAGCCAATTTTCTCCTCCCAACTCCTTGGAAGCATGATTATCTGACTGAGATTAAGAGTAGTATAAAATAAGTCCTACCACAGAACAGCTTTATGAAATTATAAATAACTCACTCAAGAATGATATCGCCATTCTTCCAGTGAAAAAGGAAAAGAGAAAGGTCCATAAATATCCCAAAGTTCCACAGAAAACAGCCATATATCTTAGCAGCTGCTCCATGCTAAACAGAATTTAATTCTTTCAAATGCCCGTGGCTTGGGCATTTTCCCCTCCATCCTTCTATTACAAGAGTAAGAATTGGAGTTTGAAGTTTCTCATGGCTGGAAGGGGAGGGTCTATATACCTCCGTTAAGAATGTACATTGTGTATTTAAGTAAAGGACACTGGAGTGAATCTTCAGTTACCAACAGCCTAGTGAGTCTAGGCAAACAATGACCTCAAGTGAGATTATAAGTTTGAACACTTTGTGTTTTGAGGGAAACATTGTATTCAATAAATTTTTGCCATTATGTACCTTGTCTTTGATCAATGTCAACACACA